ATGATTGGAATCTGTTCCGAGGCCCCTTTTCAGGCTGCTTTTGAAATAGATACTCATACTAGAAAACAAAATCGCAGAGTAACAACTAAGAATTAACAGCAATGACAGTATCAATATGAATCTTGACTATTCTGTACTTGTACCATCGTCCCCCGAAGCCCTGCTTTAGCTATCAAGTTGCCCTTAATCCTTCACCCTAAGCCCCAGCCCCGGGTCTACTCCTTAAGGGCCCTAAACCCTAAACCCTAAACCCTAAACCGAAAAACCCTAAACCCTAAACCCTAAACCGAAAAACCCTAAACCCTAAACCGAAAAACCCTAAACCCTAAACCCTAAACCCTCAACCCTCAACCCTAAACCTTAAGGGCCCATTACAAGGCCTGGCTTCGAGGAGATGGAGGAGGACAGCTTGCAAACCGCTGCCCAAAGCAATTTTCAGCGAGCGGCCCGGGGTTAGGAACAGGCCAAAGCGACCCGCCGCGCCCAAGAAAAAAAGCCCTAACCTAGGGTTTAGGGTTTAGGGTTCAGGGTTCTAGGGTCCCTAAAAAAAGGAACCTAAAAGCCCTAAAGCCTTAACTCTTAAGTTCTAAACCCGAATTTTAAACTCTTAAGTCCTAAACCCTAAACCCTAGAAGCCCTAAAACCCAGCAACCCTGAAGCTCGAAGATCTAAACTTGGACACGTTCGGGGACCTAAGACCCCGATCGCGGGGTGCCGTGGTTTTGGCCCGGACCTCGCTCCGCGTTTGCTGCCACCTGCTTGTGCTACATCCACTGACAGCCTCCTGCTGCTCGCACCCGTCCGTGATCATAAGCCATGAACCATGTCATACTTTCGATGTAAAGATACAGGTTGCTGGCTAGTTTCACGGTTGTTTTCGACATGCCTCTATTTCGAGGGCGACAGCAACGAGGGCGCTAGCGCTACTGTCGCCATCACTACTTCTATTGATTGCACCACTGCTACTGCTGCTGATGTTATTGTTTCAAGACGAAGTTATCACCATCAACGTCAAAGTCTGCTTCTGCTTATCATTGCTATTGCCGTTACGACGGCAGCAACAACAACAACTGTTGCTGTTCCTACTACTGCCGATCCTACTACTCCTGCTCCTCCTGCTACTACTCCAAGTCCTGGCCCTTGTCCTTGTACTAGTCCTAGTGCTACTACCACTGCTTCTGCCACTGCTGCTGCCACTGGTACTGCTACTGCAGCTGCTGCTGATGTAACTGCTACTGCCAGTGCCAGTGCCAGGTGCCAGTGCCAGGTGCCAGTGCCAGGTGCCAGTGCTTGCGCTGGTGCTGGTGCTCTGCTATTTCTACTACTGCTACTGCTACTGCTACGACTGCGACGACTGCAGCGACTTCTACGACTCTAACACTATACTACGACGACGACGACGACTACTACTACTACGACGACTACTACTACGACTGCTACTACTACTACTACTACGACGACGACGACGACTACTACTACTACTACTACGACGACCACTACTACGACTACTACTATTACGACTACTACGATTACTACTACTACTACTACTACTACTACTACTACTACGACTACTACGACTACTACGACTGCTACGACTGCTACGACTACTACGACTACT